TAAATACTGGTCAAAGGTATCGTTCTCTTAAGAATTTAATAGATGATTTGTAAGAGTTTCCCTTTTTAACAGGCAAAAACCTAGAGTGTGCCAAGTATGCATCAAGAGAATTGAAGGACTATATTGACTACCATTTAATGAACATTCCAATGGACTTAGAGACCCGAATTCTTCTATCTTAATTCCCAAATTCTAATTAATGATGATAGCCTCATTAAATTCTAGTTGATGATGTAGCCAATTTTTGTACACTCAGTACTAGTATTTGACGCAAGAATTTATAATTAATGATGTCTTGCCTCAGTGTTTTTATACTCAAGTATTTGACTCACTCACTCAAATTTCACACTTCCTTCGTTTCAAAATATATATTGTTTTAATATTTATATTTTGTTTCAAAATATAAGTTATTTTTGGTATCCAATACAAATTTTAAAAACAAATTCCAGTCTTAACCTTATTAATGGATTGATTTTGTTACCATTCATCTATCAGTTTAACAAAACAAAAAAGCATTCAACTATCAAGCATTTAATACACGTTGATGGTTTTAATTGTTATAACGCCAAGTGTTTTTCTATCGATTTTGTTTTGTAGGTCATTGGTATTCTCGTGTTTTACTGTTACTATCATGTTTTACCATTATTAGTGTTATTACCAACACTCTCTTTGTGAAATGAAGAGAGTATGATACCAATCAAAATTATATTGTACTCCCTCTGTTCAGAATTATTTGATGTTTTAGAAGGTTTTTTTTGTTCAGAATTATTTGATGTTTTCACTTTTCAATGCAAAATTTAATGAATTTTTATAGTTTTTGACATTTTATATTCTGCAGATTGTCTTCTTATTGGCTGAATGATATTTAAATGGATTATAAATAATATTTTTAGTATAGAAAAAATAAAAATTAAATGAATCCTTAAACTGTGTGCAAAAACTTTAAACATCAAATAATTCTGAACAGAAGGAGTACTATCTTAACTATTGGATCATGTGTGACAATCATACCTTTTCAGTTTTTTTTATAAGTGATAATTAAAGTTTTTGCATACATATTAATTCTTCATATAATTTTGTTTTTTTCTATACTAAAACATCATTTACTATTCATTTAAACAAAATTCAACCAATGATAAAACAATATGCAGAATATAAATGGTTAAAAAGAAACTAATTATTTCAATAAAAGTTGAAAATATCATTGAGAACAGAAAAAAAAAACTAAAAATTAGAAGGAGTATTAAGACGTTTTTAATAATTGGAGAAATTATTTTTAATTTATATATTAAATTATTTTATGACAAAAATAAGAAAATATACTTTTCATACTTCTCATTAAAATATCTTATAGTATATTATGGTACAGATGGAGTATTATATAGAAGAAAACAAAATTTGTTAGAAGCTATAATTTATTGCTTTGAATTGTTGAGATGAAAAGGGAAATTAATAGACCCACATGGAATGAAGCAGCAGTAATGTTACATCCAATTTCCCACACACACAAAAAAAACCTTTTTTAACATTATAAATGTGTCAATGGGAAACACACACACACAAGTCAGAAAACCTCTTCTTCTTTTTTAGCCAGCAAAACCCATATACATTTATTGTTAGTTGATGGGTTCAAGTCCCTTTCGTTCACAGCATTTTATTTAGTGCTTAGACAAAAAAATGATATTTTTTTAGTGTTTCTTAAAGACAAAAAATAGCATTTTATTTAGTGTTTCTTACAGAAAAAAAAAAGAGGAGTATAGTTTTTATAAACCAATGTTTTTAATTGGAATCAACTAAGAATTCAAGACCAGTCCAAACCCTACTATGCAAACCAACTCTTCACTATATACAGCCAACCAAAATGACCAAATATTTTGTAACAAAATTATCAATGTGATCGGTCATTATCCTTCATGCTTTCAAGCTTCTCGTTAGTTGCATTTTCAAATCCAAATGTGATCCAGAAGCTCAAGGCTAGAGAGTGAGACGACCTAAAATGTGACCAAGCCTACAAATATTAAAAAATGTCTAAAGACCCCTAGATACGACAATCAAACAAAAACTTCAAAAGAAAATATAAACACTAGCTAAAAGAAAAATTAGAAAAAACAAACACATTAGTACATTACTGGTCCTGATTTAACTGGGATTAAAGGAAGAAACAAAACGACCAATTATAAACAGGATTATAAAAAGAAAAGAACAATTCACAAAAAAAAAAGGTGCAAACAAAAGGTTTGAAATTGAACCTAAAGCAATGCAGATGAGAGTTAGCCCACTACATCCATAAAATTCAAATATGTTTTCAAACCTAAAGCCCAACAATCTTTAACCTATGTCCAGGCCTGTATATGATGACTCCCAAATACAAGCTCCCAATTCGAAGAGAGGAGGAAATTTTGAGACAATTAACGAATTGTACAGCCCATTAAAAAAGAGACCCAAATCCCTGAAACGTAAAAACTGCAAAACTCCGACTACCGATCATACACGAATTTTGTTTTATTTCTATTTCTTTGTGCAAGCAAGTGTAATACACCGACCATAGAAAATGCACATATTTTAAAAGTTCTACTATTGGTTATGCTTTTACATTCATTGCTTGTGATGCTTGAACATAGACATCTTTATGAAACATTCTTGTTATGAAATTACTTTTAAGAAAATAAAACAAGAGATGATCTCTTCTTCATTGTATATTACTACTCTTCTTTTAGCTGCTTGCGTGATGGCAACGGGAACAAACTAAAAATTAACGTTAGGAGTACGTGTGTTGATTTTGTTAGTGTTGGATTTTGGTAAGTTTTAAGATTATTTAATTTGATAATTTTGAATAAATTTAAGGGAGTGTTTATTACAGATTCAAAAACTTCTCTTTATTATAATATTTGTAACTATATCTTTAAATAAAAGATTATTGGACTGATGATTTAGAAAAGACATTCAAATCCACTCTTATCAAAAATATTTTAAGCATTACTTTTCAATAATCTCAAATCCAAATTACATAGTTTTGAACAATATGTCATCAAAATTTATTGTCATTTTAAGATAAATCATTTTCAAATATTTAAAACTTTAAAGTTGAGATATTGCATCAGGTGTAATGGCAGCGTAAGAGTTTACATGGTTCTACGGTGGAGTAATCAAAGCCTAAGTTTACAATAGATGGGGATTTGTTCTTTCAAATGTGTTTAAGAATAGCCTCCAAATCTAATAATTTTGTCTTCGGGCCAAAAACATTATGAAACTCTCAACCAAGTTGCTTTGGTCCAATGATAATTTTCAAATAAAAATTTCTTGTCGAGTTTTCTTATCCACTTAACCGTGCTTTAAATTTAAAATATTTCCAAACGTATATTTGAATGTAAAGCTTTAATAAAATAATTGGTCTTTGGAAGACAATCTTTAGAAAATCCACGATTTTTTTTTATAAAAAATATACTATGAACCAATCCTAAATTTAACAATATCATAATTTGTCGTATTCATTATAGTTACAACTTACAAGTAATTACACATATTTAACTTACAAGTAATTTTAAAAAAATACACTATAAACCAGCCTAAATTTAACAATATCATAATTTATCGTATTCATTATAGTTACAGCTTACAAGTAATTACACTTGTTTAACTTTTACTTTTCAAATCAAATACCTAAATGTATACATATGTGAAGTAATATATATATATATGTGTGTTAGAAATTAGTAAACCTTATTATTTACATTCTTAATTATTATTTTTTAAATCCAATCAGACAAACAAAACCAATAATTTGACAATCAAATTTGTTTTGTATATAAGAATAAAACATATGGTTCCCTGCCTCGTACCAATTTTGACTCTTTTGTCGGTAGGCAACCTATGAATCCAAAATATTAAACTTTTTAAAATCATGCCAAATTTCAAACTCGGGGATCTTATACAACAGTTATGTTTTTTTATTAGTTGGACCCTATAGAGAATGTACATTTTCAAACTAAGAAATTTTAGTTTACTGCATCTATGTAGACTTGTTAAATTTAAGTGCCCTAGGTCGTCACGCTCATATCTCTGTGTTAGATTTGATTCTGTACAAGAGATTTTGATTATAAAAATCCTCCAATATGGCCGATCATCAACCAATTATATTCAAATCAATTTAATAATTAAAATATACTCGTAAGTCCTATTATATATTTTTTTTCTTCATTATAGTTGATTTTTTAAATATTTATATACAAATTAAAAAAACTATAAATATTCAATTATTTATTGTTTATTTTTGTTAATTAAGTTACTTTTACAACTGATTTTATTATTTTATTATTACTTTTTCTTTTTTATCTGTGCATTAATGAAGTAAAATAACATGCATTAATATTATTCATTCAATTTAAAGAAGAAACATGCATTAATTATATATAAGAAATCAAATATTATAAAACAAGAAAAAAATCTAAAAAATCAACTACAATAAAATAGAGAGAAATAGAGAGAGTACAAAACAATAATTAAATATAGTAAAAGTAGTGTCCAAATATCTACCTGGCAAATACGAAGCAATCATGACAGAATTTCTTGAAACTCACCACTCACATTTCAAAATCCAATGTTTTTTCCCTCTGACACAACCCAGTGGAATGTTGATGGACATGTTAACCTAATCAACAATATCAGATTTTAGTACGAATTTTTAATTCTCCGTGTTACAGCAAAAAAATTCCCTAAACTATATGCCAATTTATGTAGAACTAGATACCACTTTTTATATATATACAAGGGTCCCTATATTCAATAATCCTAAACATATATATATATATATATTACAAAGGTTAATAAATCAAACTATTTTTATTGATTGCGTTATATGGAAGAAATTGCGATATATTTTGCGCTAATGCGTCAAGCTTATTTGTTTATGTCACGACCTATCTTTTATAACTATTATCATGACTAATATCATGTCATAATAAATTAAAAGCATAAGAACAAAAAAATCCATCATAAATAACAAGTAATTAACCAACCAAACCACCGTTAAATTACAAACCAAAGAAGAAATATTGTTTTTAAGAAAAAATAAAGAAAGAGTACTATTTGGTCTTTGTCTCAACGAAGAAGATCAAGAATCTAAAAAGAGACAGAAACCCTAGAAATTAAAAACCAAACATCCCCCTTATAGTGAAAGTGGTATACAAAACATGTGATGACATGAGCTTTAATATATAGTAATATTATTTATTCATTATAATGATCTTGATCTTAGACCAAAGGAGTGTTGAGTAAACCATTATTCCAAGACGAAGCCAACCCATTCCAGCTTTCCCTTCCGGGATCAACCTCCGGCACAACTCCGGCAGAATCTCCGGTCATCTGCCAAGGAAATCCCCACAGAACCTTGCTTTGATTCGCTGAAATATTGTTGTTATTGTTCACATTCTCTTGCTTTCTCTCATTCCCCTCCAAAGAAAACCCCAAAGACGAATTCTTGCTTTCATTTTCATTTCCGGACATAAACCCATAACACAAACTACCATTGTTAAAATTACCGTTTTGCCCTCCTCCGAAGATCGCTCCATTTCCGAACACATCAGAGTGTGTGTTCGTTGAGTTTCCATAAATAGAAAGATCGCCTCCAAACCCAAAAGAAGGCGTGGCCTGAGAAGAGGAATGCTTATGAAGACTAGCGAAAGCGAGGTTGAGATCAATGGAGTCATAACCAAAAGACGATGGCATTCCCGTAATTAAAGGGTTGTGAAGTGGATCATTATGGAAACTGATAGGCTTATTGTTGTTCTTGGAGAAAGCTGTGGAGGAGGAAGAAGATCGTTTGTTTCGACGACAACCACCACCTACGGGGACGTTACGGAGAGTACCACCTTTAGTCCAATATCTCCGACAAGATTTGCAGAAGTAACGAGGTTGAGAGAGACTATAGTTGTTGTAGTAACAAAACTTTGTGTTTGGAGATTCACATCTTGGACACTTTTGAGCTTCTCCTCCTAATTCTCCTCTTCCTTGTTTCTTCTTCATTTCTTCTTCCATTTTCTTATTGTTATTGTTGCTTCCTTTTGTTGAGTTCACCAATATAGTTTCCAATGTCTCGTTTGAGATTTCCTGCACATTCAAACAAATTTAATTAAATTTTGATGACGAGTGAGTAATGATGATTTTCTTTATATAACCGACTATGGAATGACGTGGCGCCGATTCTTATACCGACAATAATTCTAGTTATATACCATCTTGTCTATGTATGTGGATTTTGAGATAAGCTTAGGAACTAAGGGTAATCGAGTTAATATATCAATCACTAAACTAACAATTGACAAAGATCTTGTTGAATGTTTTTGGTTGCTATGAGTCACTAAACTAACAATTGATATAGATCTTGATGAATGTTTTTGGTAGCTATGAGTAGAAGTTGTAATGATCTTCCAAGATTTAATTTGACATGATTTTTAAGTGTTTGAGGTTTAAATTTTGGGGGATGGATAACTAAGAGAGCTCAAAATTAACAAACAAACAAACAAATTTCTTTACAAACTTTAAAATGATAGAACAATAAAACTACCTGCTGAGGATCCATTCATGCAACAAAGGATCGAAGCAACGATTACTTAGTTTCTAGTAATAATTACCAGTAATGTTTGTTATTTTGCTCAAACTCCAAAAGAACCAGGGAACCGAAGAGAGATAGAGAGAGAGAAGTTTGATGAAAAGTGGTGAGCAAGATATGAATAGAGAAGAGCACCATTTCATAATATATAATGCAAAACATGAGAAAGTGGGTCCTTTAAAAAAATACTATGTTTTTCTCTTCTTGTAGCTACTTGTTAATTTTTAATCCTTCGTATTTTTCACATTTAAGTCGATGAACTTTTGCTACGTCTTTATTTTTTTTTTTTTGCTAAACCAAACGTCTTTATACAATTTACGTTAACAAATACTTTTATTGAAAATTAACTTTTCTTTTGGTGCAAACTTAGAATTTTAACTCTTTGACATATCATTTTTGACGTAATTTTGGCATATCATTTAAAATGGAAACGCAAGGAGGATCTTTCTTCTCAAACTTATTTGTAAGATATTAAAATAGAAAAAGTGATTTCTTAATCTAGAAAGAACAAGAATACAATTTTTGAAAAAGGAAGGAAGTAGACAATTAATAGCACTATATATTGATCCCGCGCTTCGCGCAGACTTATATATTAATGTTAAATTTAAAAAAAAATAGGAAGTAATAGCTATTATTACAAACTGTTGAATAGCTAATTTATCACATTTGTCTTTTTTTCTTAATTTTTATCTTTTATTTTTTTTTTTAATTTTGTTTCATCTCTTATTTTTATCTATTTGGTATGTATTCTTCTTCTTTTACTTCTTTTTTATTTACTTCATCTTTATGTGTCTTTTTTTATATATTTTCCATTTTCTTTTTCTTTCTACTTTTATTTTTTTATTCATCTTCTTAATTTTTTATTAATTATTGTCGTTTTGTCTAATTTTTTTTCTTTCAAAAATATTTCGTTTTTACTTAAAAAAAAAAATATATATATATATATAGTCCATTTTATATCAGTTAAGTTTTATTTTATTCATTAATCTGTATAACATTCTAAATTTATGAATTTAGTATTAGATTTTACTGATATAAATTTGAAATATATTAAGAAATATAATTATTATTTTAATAAATAAATATTTAAAATAGATTCTTTTTAATGATGCTGATGTGGACACTCTAAGAGGAAAGAAAACTCTCTTATTATATAATAGATTAGCAATAATATAACAAATATATAAAAAGAGCAAAATTATATGACAAGAGAAATATCTCAAAAGAGACACTGCAAAACACCATAATCAAAGAATATATATGCTTAATTTCACTATAAATTTCTTCTAACTGACAAAAAAAGTTAGTTCAACATTTAAGGGCATCTCCAAGAAAGACTTCATATTTGAAGTTTAAAAATTTTCAAATTTGAAATTTTAAGTGTTTCTCTTCCAAAATGACACTTCAAAATAAACTTCAAAAAAATTATGTTTTACATTATAATTCTTAATTTTTCAGCATAACTAATTAAATTTATTAAATTTTATAAATAACTATAAAATGTACATTAAAGAAAAATCAAAAACAAAATTGATTATTAAAATATCATTAATATGATAAGGAGCACACAAACAAAATTAAAAGTTGCAAAAAAAAACTACTAAATTATTTTTTGGTGTTTAAATCTGTTTTATGTTATATTAAATTGCTTAATAATATTATCTGATATTTATGTGTCTTTTACTTTACTTTTTGTAATTTATGTGATATTTTTGAAATTTAAGTTGTTTTAATTTTTTTTAATTGTGTATGTGAAATTATAATTATAAAAATATATGTGAAATAATTATAAAACATAAAATTAAAATGATAAACAAACATAACTTAAAACATTATTTAAAAAAATAGATAATTGTAAAGTATAAAATGCAAAAGAAAGATGAAATTTCAATTTGAAAATCTGAATAGCAAACTTTAAAATATGAAGTGCCACTGTTCAAATATTTAAAATTTAAAGATATAAAATCTTTTTTGGAGTGTATAAAACTTCAAATTTGAAGATATGAAGTCTCTCTTGGAAATATAATATATATATGTTAAAACATAGTAGTATATGTGGTTATATATATCACCACTCAGATTATTATTTAGTAATGCATAAAATTTTCAAAGTCTATATCTGCTCACTCCAAAAAGAATCTAATATCAAGACAATGAATGGTGGTAATGAATAAAAATAAGATAGTTATATTTGGGTCGTACACATAAACGTATATTATTGTACATAGAAGTCAAGATGATCGAATCTGGCGTGGGTTCAACTATACATGTGGACCCTGCCACACCAATAGCCACCATCACCATCAACCAACCCCAACCCCATTCTCAATTCAAATTCCATACCATTTCTTCTCTATACGCTATGAATATATACGTTATTTAAACTTCCAAGAGTTAGAATAATGATTATTATCTTCTAAAAGGTGGAATAGAAACCTAAGAGAGAAGTGTTTATTGTTCATGATGGTTATCTTCTAAGAGCTGCAATGAACCATTTTGTTATTAAGAGAGATATGACGGGTTTAGACGGTTTTAGGAGGTCTAAGACAATCTTAAACGATTGTTATGTCTGTGTTAATGAATGAATCGGATGCGGCGCAGCTGTACAATTATACGGTCCTTGTTAGGTAGCGCGTGGGGGCCAATTAGTTAGCGAACACACAGGATAGAAAATGTTGATTGATTCATTCCTATTTTCTTCTTATTATGTGTTTTCTTTTGTTACTCTTTTCTTATGTTTTTCATATATTTAATATAGTAATTTTTTGGACCAAAAAAAGAGTAATGTTTCTTAGGTCATATATAAAAATAAATGTATGCCAATCAGTGAGTTACAGTTACAGGTAATGCTACTTATTTGTTTCACGAGTCAGTGACGTTGGTGGCTTGCTTACTGGCTTATTGTTGATTCTTTGTTCTCTAGTATTTACTACTTAGTAGTACTCCACCCTAAGCTATTATTTATGTTTCAATTCCGTAACTCAATTAAATTACAGAATCGAAACATGATAAAAAGAAAATTATATATTTATGAAAACAAAACAAATAAAATACTTTTTAATAGAAATTTTTTAATTTTGGCAAAAAACCCTAGTTTTTCTTATGTAATACTAATAGTAGTAAATAATTAAGGCCATGAGGGATCAAAAAAGGTATAATTAGCGAGAAAGTAATGATGTTTGGAGGAGGGGTGGGGTCCATGATGGATCTGATACAGAAGATTATGAAGCAGCTGGTCCTTCTCAGTAATCCAATTTGGTAAATGTGTATTAGTCTACATAAGAAAAATACAAATTAACTAATCGTATACTATATTCATCACGGCAAATAATATAGTGAAGGACAATGATATCTGACAATTTATACTTGAATAACTACCTCAAGTCTCATTGTTGTTTTTGTTTCAAAAAAGTTATATACCAATAAAAATATTGAAAAGGAGAAAAGTCATTATTTAACAATCAAATTAAATGATGGTTATGGTTTCATCTATGATCTATATATTAGTATATTTGTAAACATGCTAAATAAAAGTGTGCCATTCAAAATCTAAGTACTTGAAGGGATGATATCATAATTAGACGGCATATTATCAGTCGGATCAAATAATTATAATTTTAATACACCTGTATCGTAAGGGAAAAAAAAAGTTATTCGATAACTGGATAAGTGTATTTTAGGTTTGTAATAATTTAAAGATGTTTCCCTTTTTATAGCTAGACAACTACACTGAATTAGTGGTTTGCATGTGCTCTACGGTAATCGGAATTCTATCGATCCAATCAGATTGGTATCAGCCATATCTTTTAGTTTTAATTATTTGATTTTTTTTTCCTTCGTTTGTTGTATATTTTTTAACCACAAAAACATATGAAAATGACGAACCCTTTTATTAAGCTTACAAATAAATTTCTGAACTCTCATCAGAAAAAACGAAAAACAAAAGATAAAATAAAGAGAGGATTGACAAAAGATGCCAAAGATAACAAACCGAAATACTAATATTATGTCGGAATACTAAAACAATAATATTCCGCAATAAGACAATTTTCTTTTCACATCAGTTAGTAACAAAGAATGTTTGCATATTCTGACATCAATTGGATATTTGGATAGATACAATTCGATCGACAAGCAACATGTTGGAGTTCAGTGACTTCAGCAACGATGAAGCCGCAACTAACTAACTTGTATACATGTGAAGAGCAATTGTGTCAGTTTAGAAATTTAACAGATTTTTTTTTCCTTTTTGGTACTTAAAACATGGCCCTAATCTCTTATGGAGGTAGTTTAGTTTTGAACTTTCGGAATTGTAAAAGCCTGATTTGTATGTTTTCTTTCAAAAATCTTAAATTGTGAAAAGATGGATACGCGTACGTCATAACTGAATAACTCATCAAATTTTAATGTGCTATTATTAAAACAACAACAATTTACGCTATAACAAATAAGCGATTTATAATTTTGTTACAAAACGAAAAATAATCAGCAACACATATGATAATTATATATGGACCAGGTAGTGAGCGAATTTATTGATAGTAGGAGGCGCTAAGCTATTGTAGGTCTAACAATGGAGTTCGTATCGTCATCATCATAATCCTTGAAGATGGATGAGTATTAGCATTTACAACCGTTGAGTACCTAACTACGAAGCATGTCTTCAGTGTGTCATATGTTTTTTTTTTATTAATCCAACAAACAGAAACATGTTTTTGAATGTTGTTGATTCCAAAATAACTCGACAAAACCAATCGATTGAAGAGACTTTTACAAAGTTTCTTGCTTCTCTGTTTATTTTATATATTTGGATATGAGTGTTTCTTTAGTTATATAAATTTTGGTGCCTGTGTTTATATTAGATAAAAGCATATAATCGATTTCATATTCATAACCTAGAAGACATCATACCAACTTCACGATATTCTTTCTTTCTTTTTTCTATTGAAGGACATGTGAAAGTGGTTTTTTATATACCAATATGTGAAAGTTTTTTAAATCGTCTAATTCATAACATTCGTATATCAACATTCGTTTAGTAAATATGTGAATCGTCTTCTTAATATCCATTTATATATACTAGAATCACACTAAAAACTTGGCAAGAAAAAAAAATCACAATAACTACGAAAAAGGCATAACGGGGAATCTGTACTTGCTTTCTATTCAAATTTCCAAATTGGTCTTAGGTACAAAGGCATCTAACTTGAATGTATATTTTTACTTTTTTCGGTTATCTGGATAAATGTGATTTCGTTTTTAAAGGAAAGAGTTTAATTATGGTAAGATAGTTATAGGAAAAGAAATGAATTTAAAGGAGACTAAAAGTTAGGATAAAACAAATAATATTAGGATGATAAAGAAAGCTGCTGATCACATTGGGATGCATCTGTAAGATAGAGAAGTCAGGGAAATGGACCCAACTATGTTTCATTGACCGGTCAAACAATTTGTGTAATCAAAATTTGATCTTTTTATAGTCAAAGAAAACAGTATAATGGTGTAGATTTTTAGAATAATAATAACAACAACTTGAGTGATATTTGGGGAATTTTGGAAGAATGGGCCACTCAGTGTTCTCTGAAGTGGGGAAGCAGTTTGTGCGAAGAAAAGAATCTTCACCGTCTGATGAAATATTGATATGATGTTTGTGTATGTGCAAATAATGCGAAGGAATCTCTATGCGTGGATAAGGAGAAAAACAATTCCATCATCATGTTTTTTTTTTTGGTTGATTGTTTTAATTTGATGATTGATTTGGACAATGGTTTGGTACGTGGATGGGTTTTTATCAGTCATAACACATGATCTAAATAATTTTTACTTTATTAGCTAAAGTATAAATGATAAAAAAAACATTTTATCTGCTTTTTTGGTCACTATATATTCAGCTAAACAAACTTCGTGGAATATGCATAGAGAAGTATAAAATTGTAATGATGATAGCTAACTTATAATATACATATATATATAGTAATTCACTTTGTATAAATATGTTGTTTATGCGTTTTCATGCTTAATTGTATTTTTCTCTAAAGTAAAATAATAGATATACAATTTAGAGTTGTATTACACTAAATATTTGGAAGAATTTGAGTTTCAAAAAGTTTATGGTGAATTTTGAAAGTTGTTATGATTTTCATTTATAATTTTCTATAATTTTATTTAAAACTATGAGATTGAAAATTTTGTATTGTTAACTAAGATTTTCCATTAAACATATTGACAACACTAAAAATCAATTGCTTAAAATAGTTTTTAATAAAAATGGAATGGAGTTTTATCGAAACCCTTCTGATTAAGTTAGGCTTCTCAGCGAGATTGTCATTTATGTATTGCATCTCCTCGAATTTATATCGGGTTCTTATTAATGGAGAACCTAAATGACACATTAAACCATCAAGGAGATTAAGACAAAGAGATCATCTCCCCCCTTTCCTCTTTATATTGTGCACAGAAGGTCTGATTTCTCTTCTCAAAGGTGCTGAGGAAGAAGAACGTATTTCTGGGCTGAAGGTGGCCCAAGCAAGCCCTCCAGTGACCCACATACTATTTGCTGATGATAGCCTGTTTTTCTGTAAAGCGAACATACAACAAGGAGCAGAGATTCTCAGAATATTAAACACTTATGGAGCGGCATCAGGACAACAACTTAACCTGAGCAAATCATCCATCATGTTCGGAAATAAAGTGAATCCGAACCAAAAACGAGCTATTAAAAATACCATCGGCATCTCGACAGAAGGTGGCATGGGCATGTATCTAGGTCTCCCAGAGCAAATCTGCGGATCAAAGAAGAAAGTCTTCTCTTTTGTCCATGATCGCCTAAGTTCCCGTGTCAATAATTGGTCTGCTAGACTTCTTTCCAAAGGCGGAAAAAAGATTGAGATCAAATCAGTGGCCCAAGCCGTTCCGACCTACATCATGTCTTGCTTTCTTCTTCCACAGGGGATAACAGACAAATTCCGTAGCGCCATTGCCAATTTTTGGTGGAGCTCGAAACAAAATAACAGTGGAATACATTGGATTGCATGGGATAAGATTTGCATTCCTCAGGATATGGGAGGCCTTGGATTTAGGGATCTTAACGATTTTAACCTAGCTCTGCTAGCTAAGCAGCTATGGCGACTCATTCAGTATCCAAACTCTCTTCTGGCTCGAGTGTTAAGAGGAAGATACTTTCGACAATCTGATCCATTAGAGGACCGAAAAGTCTACTCACCATCTTATGGATGGAGAAGTATGTTGGCTGCCAAACCGTACCTCAAATTGGGACTCAGGAAGACAATCGGGTCGGGACTCAACACTAGAGTTTGGAGTGAGCCTTGGATTCCAGATGTTAGAGCACGAGCTCCAAGAGCAGTCCCCCAAATCGGCTTTCAAGATCCAGGAATGCTAGTATATCATCTTATCAACCAAGATACGAAACAATGGGATGAGCCTCTCCTAAGAGTCTGCTTCCAACCTGAGGATGTCTCGCTTATCCTTGGGTTGAGACCTACTAGGAACCGTACCCTAGACGGATATGCATGGAACCACACTAAATCAAGGATATATTCTGTTAAATCGGGTTATGAATTGATTAGAAGAGCGAAGCTTGCTCAAAATACAGATGTAGTGGGAGAACCAAGTATTACAGCCCTTCAAAGTTATGTTTGGAAAGTACGAACACCTGGAAAAATGAAACATCTCATGTGGCAAGCTTTATCAGGATGCATTGCTACTTGCCAAAACCTGACCGAAGGCATTTGGGAACGGATATGCGGTGCCCCCGCTGCGGGAACCCTGAAGAATCTATCAACCATCTTCTATTTTTATGTCCCCCGACCTTACAAGTCTGGGCATTATCGGACTTTCCGTCCCTTCCGTGCCTCTTCCCGAGTACCTCTATTTACCAAAATATGAGCTTCCTCTTTTGGAAAACAAAAGAACTAGGCACTACAAAATGATATTTATCCTTGGATCCTATGGTATATTTGGAAAGCCATGAACGACAAGATCTTTAACGGAAAAGAAATTTCCCCGGTAGATACCTTAATCCAGGCAAAGATTGAAGCAGAAAGCTGGAGGAGTGCAAACAAACCGGAAGTAGACGAGGACGCAATAGACGAGATTACTCCCATTCCTCTAACTCCGTTATCTCTACCTGATGCTCAGAGGTTCCCGATCTGCCAGGTCGATGCATCTTGGATAGAGAACGGCCTAGTGAGTGGGCTCAGGTGGAGTCTTAGGAAGGATAGGAGTGAAGAGATCTTTGGCCTTCAGGGCTGTCGGAGAAGCCTTTCGGCCCTTCATGCCGAATTGGAGAGCCTCTTATGGGCAATGTCTTGCGCGAGAGATAGACATATTATATCCGTCCACTTTCAGACCGACTGCTTGGATCTGGTAAGCATGGCAGAATCTCCATCAGACTGGTCATCCTTCCTTTCAGAGTTGGAAATCTTTCGGACATTACGAGAAAGCTTTTTGGACTTCACTCTCTCCCATATCTCCAGGAGTTCAAATGTCTGAGCAGATAGTCTAGCGAAAGGAGCTCGAGCAAAAAGCTTTATCTTTTCCCAAATCATTCATAGCGAATCAGTTGTGGGGGCTGTTCGAACCATTCCCTTAACGGGCCAATAGTGATGTAATAGTTGGATAATGAAAAAAAAAAATAAATAAATAAAATAAAAATGGATCTAAAGGTATTTATTCAAATCACTAGTCTAATACCCACTAGATTTTCATGTTTATTCAACTTGTATGACTCATTTCATTTTCAATCTATTCGGCATTTTTTCACTAAAATGGTAGAAATTAGATACCTAAGGCGTATTATCTTTTGATTACTTTCCTAATATAACAAACTACGAATCCTCAATTCTAAAGCAACTCACAGATTAGAGATAGAGAAATATACGTAATGGACTAATGGGAGCAATAATATTTCACATCACGTAAGGAAAAGAAATGACAAGAGGTAACAGTGGCTAAGGGTCCACAAGTTTTGAGGATGCATGCAAAATCCAAAGGGGTCCAGAGAGATTGGACATTTGAATGGAACAGCCTTAGCCTCTCTTAGCCCTCTTGGACCCATCAGTCGGTGCGTTGTGGGTCCCAATTACGACAAAGATCGATCGACAGTTCGATCTGACACGTGGCATAATCTCATTTCCTTCTACCGACACACGAATATTTTTCGACTTACGAGGAAAGTAATCCAAACCAAACCATCATCCATCCTTTTATTTTGTTTTGTTTATTTCCCAATTTGAGTATTATATAATGGATCATTTCGCATTTCTATGAAATCTTATTATTGCCGTCAATTCAAACAGAAACATAATCTAACATCTTACAAACTCAACTAAACTAGTATTTACTCAACTAAACTAGTATTTACTGTCTGCAAGACGAGAAGATAACAAATTATTCTGTTAAGAATATATTGAATGTCTGTAAATTAAACTTTATTTAACCACTTTGATTTATTCAGTTGAATTTGTGTCTATGGTTTGTCATGTTTTAAATCTATTAAGAAATTGATAATTAAACTACTCAATGATTACATTCATTTTACAAAAGTATCAAATATTAAGTGTTCGGATCACTCACTTATTTGAAAAAATTAGAAACACATTGACATAAATTCGAAGTTTGTTGTTGCATTGTAACTAAAATTATGCATGAAACTACAATACACGATTTTTTTTTTGAAACAATGGTTATACATTCCACGAGTTTTTTTTTTGGGGTGGGGGTGGGGAGGGGGAATTTTTCACTAAGATTATTTAACATATATTTTTGTTATAAATCTTAATTCTTAATAATTGTTTTGTTTGTATTAGCGCCTAATACAACCGATAAACACACATACAAAATCGAGATGATATATTTTATTTAATTTAGAAGAATCGAGATGAATGATACGTCGAGGAAAAGATATATCACACATGATTAATTTTGTCGTCCACAATAAAGAATTACTAATCGAAAAATAAATATATATAAAAAATGAACAAGATGTTTGGCTAATACGAAGTTGAAAAAATATTCTCGATGTAACGTTTACAAACTATTTGCGACGACGAAGAAACTGTTACAATCAGACAAATAGATGCCCCAAAATGTTTCTCTTCAATTTTGTGTGTGTGTGTCTGCAATTCATCGCATATAAGTTAATGTTCTTTCTAAACAATTTAATTACTGTTCTCCTTTCTCTACAAGAAAAGTATCGCCGAAGTTAATAGCTCACTGCAGTGATGATCTATTACTTCGTCGACAATTAATCTCTTATAGCATACCCTTCTTCACAATAAGAAAAGTTATGATTTTACATATTTTTACTTGTAATTAACTCATAGAGTCATAGTTAAAACTAAACTAAATGTTACAAAACATAATTTACTTAGAATATCATAAATTAAAACCTGCATCAAATTTGCTATAGTAAATTTCGGGATTCCCTTTTATTTATAGTGCAATGCCCTAAAGCGTTAATTAAAATGAAAATCAAAAAATTATAACAAACTTTTTCTGTTTCATAATAAGTGTCGTTTTAGATTTCATTTTTTTTCAAAAAGAATGTTATTTTGCATTTTTAATATAACTTTTTACTTTTATTTCTTGTTTTATCCCTCATTTAAAGATAATAATCTTTATAATTAAATGTTATAAAAGTATATTAATTAGGAGTATATTTGTATATTTTCTTAATTTTTTAATCTGTGTGAAATGTGTTAGAATGACACTTATTATGAAATGGAAGGAGTATTCAGTTAGCAATTGTCGGTATTTTTTTAAGAAAACAAATATCGTTTTTTTAAGTGATGAATTCATGAAATCATCATTCATGTCTTCTCACGTAGAGCCAAAATAGATAACGGTTTAGGATTTTCGGTTAGTGGGAGAAAAAACGATATGAATGCAAGGTACGGTGGTGCATTGGGTCAAGTGTTTGAAACTATCAAACAAAGAAATGATAATGCCGTTTTTATTATCCGATTATTTTTTGTTTTTGTTTTAATTTTGGTTATTTGCGTCATAGTTTTGCCGCTGTGTTCATGCATTTATTTTTTATGCTAAGAATTTATTTTTTTTATTAAAAATCTTATATTTGTCTGAACCAATTTTTTTTCTTATGCTAATCTTCTCTATGTATCATTTCCATTTTATCGAATGTTCTCATTAAACCATCTGACATGCATTTATTACGTCTCTAAACAATTTGAGACGGTTGCCAACAAAATTTACTTGGTGAAGAATCTACATGCGACAGTGTTGTTTTTTCCCCATCAGATCGGCTGTAAAAAAAATCTAAACATATATAGCCCATACTCCCAAAATATAGCTCTGATTTTGGACACATATTATTGAAAGTATACAAGCCCAATCATCATCAGCAATGTTAGCTCAAAGCCCAAGTGTCTCCAACGATCCAAGAAGCTCCAACGGTTCTTTGGTAAAGTGCAACAAGACAAAACAGAGGTTTAGAAGAAAGGAGACAAAGTGTGCAAAGCAGAATGAGATGATCGTATTATCAAACCCATTCAATACACTCTTATCTTTAGGTAAATAGGTAAGTTAAATTACAGCAGTAAAAATGATAAAATCTAGATCCTTATTATGGTAATATAAATAAGACAGACCTTTGAATCTAAAGTTCTAAGTTGAAAAGTTATTTAGTAAAATATACTATACGAATCTTCTTCTCGGTTTATTCATATAGTATCAAAGCTATACTAAACCCTAATTGGTGCTGTCATGGCAGAGAGACTCGATCCATATCCTTTTCCCTCCAGTTTTGATATCGCTAGCTCAGTCACTATTAAGCTTAGCAAGACAAACTATCTCTTTTCGAAAATTCAGTTTGAGTCGTTACTTTGTTCTCAAAAGCTTCTTAGTTTTATAAATGGCCAGTTTCCCAAGCCTGCAGAAACAGTAGTCCAGAATGTCAACAATGTCGTTGTAGCAGCTCCAAATCCAGCTTATGAAGCCTGGATCTGTACTGATGAGCTCATCAAGTCGTGGATCTTTGGGACTCTCTCAGAAGAAATCCTTGGTTTAGTTCATGCTTTGTCTACTTCTCACAAGGTGTGGCAAGCTCTTGCTGCAAACTTCACCAAAAGCTCTATGGCGAGAGAGTTTGAGTTAAGACGCCGTCTTCAGCTTCTCTTAATGAAAGATAAAACCTTTTCTGTCTACTGTCGAGAGTTCAAAGCTGTTTGTAACAATCTCAGTTCTATTGGATAACATGTTGAAGAATCCATGAAGATATTTTCTTTTCTGAATGGTTTGGGTCGAGAGTATGATCCTATCACCACTGTTGTTCAAAGCTTGATGTCTCGTCTTCTTCTCCCTACATTCAATGATGTTGTCCTTGAGGTCTCTAGTTTTGAAGCCAAGCTGCAGTCATATGAAACCACCCCTGATGTCTCACCACACCTAACGTTTCAGAGACAGAGGAGGAAGGGGCTAATCAAACTCGGGACAACGTGATAGTAGTTTTTCCAACCGAGGAAGAGGAAACAGAGGCGGTTTCTCCACTCGTGGTAGAGGGTTCCTCAGCAGGTTAACTCTTCAGGATGGAATCAATCTCAGTCTTCTCAGAATGGTGGTTCAAACCGTCCAATGTGTCAGATTTGTGGACGTGTTGGTCATGTTGCTCTCAAATGCTAGAATAGGTTTGATACTTCCTATCAAAGTGATGATACACCACAAGCTCTTGCTGCTCTTCAGGTCTCAGACAGTAGTGGAGCTGAATGGTATCCAGATTCAGGGGCTTCTGCTCACATGACTCCAACTACAGCTCCTCTGCAGACTGGAATTCCATATAATGGTTCTGAAACCGTTATGGTTGCTGATGGTGCCTTTCTCTCCATAACTCATGTCTGTTCCACTACTCTTCCAACCATAACAGGTAGTATTCTTTTTTGTGATGTACTTGTTTGTCCTTCAATGAAGAAATCACTATTATCTGTTTTAAAGTTGTGTGATGACTACCCTTGTGGGATGTTCTATAATGCTAATAATGTCTACATTATCGACCTGAATACTCAGAAGGTAGTGACAAAAGAGCCACATCATGAGGGTCTTTATGTGTTGGACAAGCCGGAGTTTATGGCATTTTATTCAAATCGACTAGTTGCTGCATCGGAGGTCATCTGGCTTTAACGGATGGGTCATGCAAACTTCCAGCTAGTTCAACTCCTCAAGTCAAGCAAGTTAATTTCCGTTAATAAGAGTGTCACTAATCATATTTGTGAACCATGTCAAATGGGAAAAAGTTCTCAACTACCTTTTTATTCTTTATGAGTCTAGTGTAATGGAACCACTTGATCGAATACATTGTGATCTGTGGGGTCTTTTTCCAGTTGTATCAGTTCAGGGGTTTAAGTATTATGTAGTGTTTGTGGACAACTATTCTCAATACTCATTGTTGTTTTCTTTAAAAATGAAATCTGATTTCTGTGATGTGTTTATTGGTTTCAAAACAAGTTGAGAATCGTTTAGCAAAAAAGATAAAACTTTCA